TAAAGAATACCTTGATAACTGGTTGACATCACCGTGGCATAGAGTGCACGAAGAACTGAATGTTGGTAGGGCTTCTTCTCTTGTACTTTTTTTACCCATTACCTTCCAGCAGTTTTCAATAGGGTTGAGATCTGAGCCATTACCTGGCCAGCGTAGTGTCTTAATCCTCTCCTTTCGAAGATAGTTTATCACCTGAAACAATGAAATAAAACCTAAGATGTTATTTCAATACACGAAAAGTGAAATTTTACGTTTACTGCATACTATTAAAACTTGTGTTATTGAGAATGATTGAACCAGTGATCGAAACTTCGTGCCTATTAGAAAAATATTCTTCCTGACTGCAAAAGCTGTATCTTGTAAAAAGATTCTTAGAATATGATAACACACACTATGGTAATATGTTCATTTATTTTAAATTTCATTTCTTGATGTCTTACTTTATGTGAATGAAGTTGAATTTTCTAAACCAAATAACGCTATGCATATATCTATATTTATACAGAAGGTAGAAAATATCTCTTTATTATTTCTAAAAGAAACTTATTTAGAATATTATATTTTCAACAAAATTTTATACCCAGAAACATGAACACTACAGTTGTATAATGTTCTTCTTTAATGTGTATGTGTGTAGTGCTAGACTCCAAAATATTATTGGCTAATGTTCTTGTACTTTTCTCTCACAGAATATGTTTAGTTTATTATATGTAACAACTGATAAGGAATATCCTTCACTCGACTTATTGTTTATATTCGCAATCCTATTAGTGAAATAAGGTGAATGGCCTTTGATATCAAAGTGGTTAGAATACTCTTAGTGATGGAACAAGTCACCCCATGATGTTACTCATGCTCGAAGGATAAGCTCTTCACACAGGATGTCGTCATTTAAAGCACTTCATTTCTAGATCTAAAGATTATTTTTAACATCTCTTCACGCTTTGAGTACTGACTTTCCGTGGTTAATAATTATATTTAAATTACTACTTCCCACATATCACCATATTTAATAATTGTATTTTAATCAATTAGTAAGTTACCAGACATTTTCTTTAATAATATTATTATCCATAACTTACCAAAAAAAAAAAAAACTAAAATATCATCAAACGACTAAGTTTCCAAAGATTGAGAATAACAGATAGGCGGTATGTTATATAGATACAATATCACTTACTGCACAGTTATGACATTATTTTCGATACAACAAAGATACCACACCTAACTTGTATAAACTAATTTATAGGCCTCAACAAAGATACCACACCTAACTTGTATAAACTAATTTATAGGCCTCAACAAAGATACTACACCTAATTTTTATAAATCATTTTGTAGGCCTCAACAAAGATACTACACCTAATTTTTATAAATCATTTTGTAGGCCTCAATAAAGATACCACATCTATCTTGTATAAACCATTTTGTGGATCTCTACCAACTTGACCCAAGTCTGACTAATCAAAGATAACCTACTTGATTCTTTTTAATTACTTATTGCCCAAATTGATGGTGGGTTTTCGTCTGAATAGCTCCTGGCTCATGAAATTTACCTCTTCCAATAATTTTCGTTTGTTTATATGATGCAATTATGAATGGAACCATGTCTGAGTTGACGCATACTAGCCGGTCAAATTTCCTCAAAATATGCCACCAAATTATCAATATCTATACTTACTTTTGCTTCTATATTACCAGTGTGTGTTCAGATGTTTATAATAAGTGCAAACATATAAGAAGACAGACACCCATGACTAAATGTCAAACGAGTTTAGTTTAAAAGCCATTTTAACCCACCAAGGCCACTTTGAGATAAAGGTCAAAAGTCATACACATATTCATCTAATTATACCTATAGGATTGAGTAGATTAGCATCATAAAGTATCTGTTTTTAGTTAAATTTCACAAAGTTTTTACTTCATATCCCAAAGCAGCAATTCTTTTCGTCAAATTTTGATTGTACAAAGGTATATTATTTATAGAATGTATTAACTAACCTTTTCACAACCAAAATGAGTAATGATGCGTACCTAAAATTTCTAAATTAATTCACTCTTTTCTACTAACATCAGTAAATTAGTAAAAAACAGCCATGAAGTTATTTTATCACTAAATCCTACATACATTGTTTAAATTATTCCACCACGTTATATATATATATAGTCAATATATATATATCTGTTTGACATTTTGATTCTAGCAAGTTTAAATAATAAATGAAAAAATAACGTGTTATTTTGCAGACAAATCAAATTTTCCAAATAAAATTAGGAAAAGAGTCTTTTGTCTTAACTGCTGTTTTGTTTGACAAATCGTAATATAGAAAACTTGTGCATCCAACATCAATCTAACTCTGAATATTATAATTTTTCTCGTTTAATATATTGTTACGACAGCAGAAGTCACGTGACGATGGTAACACGTCATGAGATTCTAGAAGGATCATGTGGCCCGAGCGTTTTCTAGGCGCCCTCTATTTTAATATATAAGCCCGGAAAATAAAGCGGAGGGGAGAAATGACGGCATAGACAATTGCAGATAGAGAGAGATAGAGACAGATAATCGAGTCAAGCCGTAAGTGAAGTGTTTAAATCATTGTGAATTATAGCGTGTGTTTAAGTTAAAGTGACTGTGGAAATTAAGTGTATTGCAAAGTTGTATTGAGAAAGAATAAACTAGTTTTATTTAAGAAAGGACTTGTATCGTTGAAGTTCCTCGGGAAGAATTTATACCGGGAAACTAACAAACGACTAGTACACATGGATGGCTCGATTGCAGATAAAGAAAACATTGGTGGAACATAACTTGTGAATCAGTCATGAGGTCAGATGCAGTCCACGCGATGACCCTTGGACGCTATGTCTTAAACGTTTTTCTTTTCTTTTTTTAAACCTCAAATATTAAATATGTTACTTAAAATTAAGGTGCTGATGTTTGCCATAACAGAACCAATAATCGTTAGCATAACAAGTTTGATTTGTGTGTTTGTTTTAAGCCCATAGATTTACTGCTGAGGCATTGGGGTGTGTGGCAACAAGTTTGAATTCTTGATAGTTAGTATGTCTGAAATTTTTACTGCAGCTTTATCTAAGTGTATAAGTAGACCGTTATTAGTTTTTGGTCATTCAAATTAAAAACGGATGATTTAGAGAACCAAAACTATGGGGGTGAAAGCACGTGCAGATACATAAGTATTGGTTAGGCCAAGCAAACTAGATTAGCAGTTTCTAGCTCAAGTTTTCAAAAGAATCATACGGGTGAACGATTATTATTCGTTATTCATTGGCAACTTTTAAGCTCAAATTTGCTAAATTTTATGAAATACTCCTAATTAAAGAAAGTTTAGCATCACGTGATATTAGCTTAAGCAAGTAGCTTAAATAATAATGCTTCATACGGTTGTACAGAGATCATGCGAGGTGATGACAAGAAACTATTAATCTAGTTTCTATGGCGTTACTATAAAGGAAGTTATTACATTTGTTTTAGAGGGGAAAAACTACCACCGTATATTTCAAAGAATCTTGTTGGTTCTGTAAAGTATAGGCCTGTTCGGAATAATAGGGCTGCAATCCTAAAGCTAATTTTGGTTATTATCAAGGGTCACTTTCTTACTTGCTGTAGTTTGTTGGTGTGTACTGACAAAAATGTCATGATATCTAATGAAAAACACCTTAGGTGTGAAAAAAAAAGTGTGACCAAAAAAGGATTGAGCATGTGATTCCAAGGAATGAAATCCAAATTGGCGGCCAAACTGATATAATTCTTATAATCACGTACATACATATATGTTTAGGATATTAGTGCTAACTGAAAAATTCATTTACACGCGGCCTAGATTAAATCTTTCGTTGTTATAGTTACTATATGTATTTTTGTCTATAAGTCTTCCAGTTCGGCCGTTGCATAAATTATTTTTGGATAAGTTATTGTTACGAGTACGGAAATCACGTGACGCTGGTAACACATGATGAGTTTCTAGAAGGATCATGAAGGCCCGAGTGCATTCGAGACTCCCTATTTTTTATATATAAGCCTGGCGAGTAAAACCAGCACAATAGGCAGATAAATAGAAGATATATAGATAGATTGAAGCTGGAGATAATTGAGTCAAGCGAGCAGTAGGCACCGTCGGTAAAGTGTGTGAATCGCTGTGATTTATAGCGTGTGTTATAAAAATTGTTAAGTGAAAGTGACTGTGGAAATTCTGTGTGTTACTAAAATTTGTATCGAGAAAGAATAAACTAGTTTTAATTAAGAAAGGACTTGTATCGCTGAAGTTCCTCGGAAATTAACAAACGACCAGATACTTAACACTATATTTGTTGAAAGAAGAGTCAGCACAGAAAGGCAGGTGGTGAGATAAGTCATTTCTTTCCGTTTGCACATGTATTACTGTTGTACGTTATACAGTAGTTCACTTGTGTTCTAATACAGGGCATATTGTGCATAAATAGCACAATTTAAACATCAAAATCAAAGGTTCACCCTTTAGTATGTGCTTTTAGTGACCTACGTTACTTACAATAATTATTGCACTAAAACGGGTACACACACACACATCTCCCCTCTAGACTCTAGAGCACTGCCGAAGTATTTTCACTTTTGTACCACAATGGAGGAAGGATATTTCCCTTTAGTCTTCCCAACTGCACCATTTTCATATTTCATGTAAATATAGTAAAGAAATATTAAAACACGTATTTTTCTTTTTTTAGTATATATATCGAAAAATCTATTCGTTACTGACAGATTTGTTTATCTATAAACATAGCAGCGAAAGAGTTAAGCGAATTTAAGAAAAAATTAATGACTAACAAACTATTTTAATGCATGGGAATCTCTCACTCATTTAAATCGTGTCCATATTTTTGTCACTTAACGTTTTCGCTCCCACACTTTTTTTAGAAAGCTTAGACTACATTTTAGCAGGTTCTTACGTCATAGCAGTGTGGTCGTACGATCTTCTCCTCGTAAGTCGATAAACTGGCAGCAGCAACTGACGTATAAATGACGTCATAGCCTGTTTACTGGCGTACACCGAAATCAGGAGAGGGACAAGGTATGAAGTGTGAAAATGAACGGAAAAGCGGCCTTTTCGTAATGACAACAGTTTCAAAGGTAGGAAACTAGATGAGCCCATGGACATAACCCAGTTATGGGTATGGCCGAGAAGCCAAAAGGCCCGATTCGCGTAGGATTTTATGACATCGAGCGCACGATAGGAAAAGGGAACTTTGCTGTGGTAAAGCTTGCAAGACATCGAATAACCAAGACGGAGGTAAGGCTTAGTTCACTTATGTTTCGGCCGCGAGGATGTAACAGTCGCTAGCTAATGAAGAAGTTTAGAAAACCGTGTTGGATTTTATTGAATTTATCCGACTGTGCTTAGATCAAAAATATAGTAATTTATTTCCTTTTGTTTATGAGGTTTCTATTCACTGAGTGGATTTAGTATGGTTGTCCCATAATTTATCATTTTATGTTAAATCAAAAACGGATTTTTCTAGAACTTACTAGAAGTTAGACGTGATTTCTGTTTCAATCAAAGTGTTTGTAAACACTAACAGTACTGTCAGTATAAATTATTAATATTACAGTTTTGTTATTTGTATTCCACCTCAGGAACAAAATTATAAAAAGCAACATCTAGTTCAAAGAAATCAGTTCTTCAAGCAGTTTGATGATAAAAATAACGTCTCGACAAATATTATCTTCGGCAGTTGATATGGCATTCACCCATAATTACTAATGTTGTCTTCTCCTACTGATGCTGTGGTCATTTAACTCGCTTTGGAACCAAAAACTGAAAAAGACTAGCATACTGGTTCACCATTTCCAAGTTTAATTGAAGAAAACTAAAATAAATAAGATTAATGATAAACAATGTGGTGTTAAAATAAATGAATAATTTAACTTAATAAAAACTAAAAATTTAGTTCTGATTTGTAATAAGTTAGATAAAATTGATGAAAATTACAGTTCACCAATTTAAGTTAATTCACACCGAAACAGTTGCTGTTCAAATAGTTGATGATATAAATTGTGTCTCAACCACCGTTACATCTGTCGTATCCAAGCCGGCTTGATGATCCTCGGTATTTAGCGAAAGGCCTTGTAAGCACTGTATATAGCAAATATAATGTTACTGATATATTATTCTTTACTTTTACTCATAACTTCATATAAATACTATTCACCAGCATTTTAAGTAGACTTGGATATGTTACTATTTACTCAAGAGCAGCAGTGCTGTTATGACTAAAAAAATAAATCTTGTGTGATCCATTTTTCTCATCTCCAACTCCACAGTAGGTGCAGAAGCATGGTATAGTGAAAAGTAATAAAAATATCATATAAAAACTAGATCTATAAGATTTGACAGATGAAGTTCATGTTTATTTTATGAAATGAAAATATCGAGAGTTGAAATATCATATTTATGTGTTTTGTTTTTGTTGGCGTTATTTTTGAAGAAATATCGAATCATAATTCTTACACCAAATCAAATTATTTTAGATATTTTCTGTAGGAAACGACCAAAATTTACCTCCAGAGATAAAATAAAAATGTCGTAGTATATAGTATTGTTTTTTCTTTTAAATTAACTGGTGAATATAATACAAATATAAGCCCACCTAATCGATAACAAATTAGTTTATTTTGTTCACTTTGTAAGTAAATATGTGCGATATCCCATGTTTACTTAGCCAGAAGACTATTTCACTCGTATTTATAACTTAATCCTTGTTCTAGATATTTTGCAAACCCTCTCGTTCACAATTTTCCCGAATATTCTAGGACTAACTTGATCTTAACGTGATGCGCTTTTTGGCTAATATTTAAATTTCAACAGAAATATAGCTTGTAACAATACCTCATTTCTAGATTGTGAAATCCCTTGAACATTTTTAATACAAAAATGAAATGAAACGAAACACTACACCAAATTATACATTCACACGTTTTTTTGGTGGTATTCACTTGTGAGGCCCATGTTATACTGATGGGATGTCATCTTGTCCTTTGTTGTAACTGGTTGTCCTGTTGCTGAAGGAGTTCGTTTTGGCTAAGTGGTCGAGTGAATCTACTTGATGATCCAAGAGTGGTCCATATCTTGTGGTATTGCAGGTTGGTCCATTAACATACGACCTACAACTGATGCAAGGTGCATGTGTGCCTGTGGAATACATCAATAAACTGCATCTGTGAGAACATCTTGTGAACTGGCATTACCAGGAACCTGAGGTTGAGGTCAATGAAGAGAGCAAGGATTCCGTCTCGATTCATGTCACCCAGAAAACGAAGGTTATCATCTCTATCCTTGGATTTGTAATTGTGGATGCTTGTGAAACTTGCTAATCCTGACTGAGATGAGAACTTTCTACACATTATGATGTCATACAGAGCAACTAAGTAGAGATCTAGAGGCTGCACTCTGAACATGATCATGTTTTCTCAGGAAAATACTACTTCTTGTTGCATAATATATATGGTTCTCCCCCCCACAAAAAGACATCCTACAATGTACACAGACATACGTGGAGTGGTTAAGGTCTACATTGATTGATGTGCATGAGTTCACCTCACAACAAACAGAAAAAGCTACTTGAAAATGGAAGTGTGTGATAAGATGGTAAAATAAGGTATATTCCATTATGGATATTTGGTGTGGTTGTTGTTGTATATGATGGCAAACTGAAAGCAACATAAATCCTTAAATTTGGCTTGTCTGGTCTATACCTTGTGCTCTTGAAGATTGTTCCATCAATGTAAAACTTACAGCTGATTCAAGTGTATGAGAGCCCACAGAACACATCAATAAACTGCATTTGTATGAACCTCTTGTGCATTGGCATGACCAGGTGTTCGAGGTTGATACCTATGAGTTAGAGGAGGACGAGGATGCCGTTACGAGTCATAATGATTCAACTCACAAGGGGGAAATGGCTGAAAGGACTTATCTGGCTGAGCGAGATGTAAAATTGCTGGTTTTAGAGGCAAAAGACATTTCTGACTGTCAGCCCAGCTGCCACAATCAACCTTCTGATGGATATGAGTGAAATTGATCCATCATCATTTGCCAGGATGATCAGGTAGTTGAAATATTGCTGAGTGAAAGGGAATTTTGACCATTGCTATTGAGTGGTTGGGTAAAGCACCATGTGTACACTACATTGTACAAGTACTACTTGATCATTGCTACTTATAACAGTTACTGATTCGGATGATCACTGAATCAAAAGAAATAGTGTTCTTTGAATTCTGAGTTTTTGGTAGTTAATGTTGTGCAGTATAATGTATGGACTATATTTTTTCACTACAACTCAATAATCCACAGTTAGTACAGTTTATCTATTGTAAGATGTATGGGATCGAAAGGGCTTAGCCTCTTCTGCTTTCCAAATTTTCGTGTAGAGTTTTACTAAATGAAATATCTGCTGGATATCAGATGATAGATGCTTGATTTACTTTAGAAACTACGATGGGCATGTGATTTAAAAATCTTTTACTGAAAGGGCTTTGCAATGCTTAGTTTCTGATTCACTAGGTAAATTATCTGATTTAAAAAAGTTTGGCACTCTGAAAGAATCACTAATGTGATCTAACTGAGTGATAATGATACAAAGCATTGTACCCTGTACACGTTAAATTCTCGTCTATATTACAGGGAGACATGTAGATTCTACAAGAAGTGAGGGAGTTGTTTTCCTTCTGACTAAATATTGAGATACAAATATTGATCCTGACTAATTATAGTTTTAGTTTATCCAGCCTTTGCTGCTGATTACTTATTTTGTGATATCTGAAATGAAAAATGAGTTGAATTTAATGGTATTTAGATGGCAATACAGTAACTACTGAGACGTACAGGTAATGGACAAACCTAGGTAAATGAAGGACAACAAGTATATGCAATGCAGAGGTTATACCACACAGGTTTGGGTCATCCATCAGTTAAGCAAATAACATCCCAGCATGCATAGGGTCATGTATAAAAATGCTGGACAGGCCTAGTTGCCTATAATCACGGCTAGCATGGCTGCAAGACGATACCTCAGTGACTTTGAAAAAAGGGTGATTGTTGGGGCGCGTTTTGCGGGAGCTTCAGTGACCAAAACAGCTCAAGTTGCTGATGTTTCACGAGCAACGGTGTTTAAGGTGACGTTAGCATGGAACTCCGAGGGAAAGACATCATCAGCAAAGAACAACAGTAGGAGGAAGCGCATACTCCAGGATCGTGATGTCAATGCACTAATTCGAACTACAAAGCAAAACAGGCGGGCAACCACAGAACAAATGAACGCAAATTTCAACCTGGGGTGAGAGCAGCCAGTTTTACCACAAACGGTCCGCCGAGTACTGCACAGAATGGGATACCATAGTCGGGTTGCAGTGCACAAACCGCTCATCACACCTGAAAATGCACTGTTACGTATCCAGTGGTGCAAGGAGCACAGGCTATGGACTACCGAGCAGTGAAGAAATGTGATAC